ACCAATCTAGTCACGCTGCCCTCACCATTTTTTAGCTCACTAACATCTCACGAAGTATGGCTCACATCATTTAGTACAAGACTCTGATGTTGACCCACCTAGAACAAAATCTAGGGAAACTACCTCATCTAATGTGCACCCAAGACTTTCTATTAATACTACCAAAAATTGCATAAGCTATTTTAGTAATTGCATCATAGCACTAGCTCATATTTAGTTAATGACAACCCTTAACGTTCCCATCCGCCACAATAAACTATTTTAAGTAGTGTCTCCTATGTTCTGTACATATTCAATAGAGACTCTATAGTTGGGACTTTACATTTACAATTTTACAGGCAACTATTTGTCTGTCCCCTCTAAAAATCCCTAGCTTTTAAGCCCAGGCAGCCCTGTCCTTTCCTAAAGATATCAGCACCTGGTTCACTGTCACTCTCCAGTCTCTGCCATGGTTCTTTGTCATATCAGTAATCAGAGGCGATTATTTCACTCCTGGCCTTGCCGTTTTTCTGGACTCCACTCCTCCAATGACCTTGTCCTCCACTCCATCTCAGTCTCCCACTCCCCTCAATGACTGTATCCCCTTCTTAACCCATCTCAAACACCCGTTCTTTCACTGCCCTCTCTACTTTACAGTGCCTTTTCCAAAGCTCCCTTAGTCAATCATTTATTTTAACTTTAAAAGAAAAGCACAACTAACTAATCCAGAGATCTTTGAGTAATATTCAGCCACAGCTATTTTTATGAAAAGAATAGAACTAGATAGATAGATAGATAGATAGATAGATAGATAGATAGATAGAATTTATCCCCCCCCCCCCCCCAGCTATATTATCTGAGCAATCCATGCTCGTTAGATTATTACAATGCCCTTCTAGTCTAGCTTCCAGCAATGACTTGAGAATGAGGACAATAAATGTGACACAAAAGCAATTGTTTAACTAAACCAAATACTAATATGAAACAGAAAGATGCACATGTTCTAGGAAACCACAACCTGTGTTTAGCACAGATTCTTACCCAAAGGAGGCATTCAATAAATGTTGACTAAATTGAATTGATAATAAAAACTTTCCATAATCTGTGCTATCCAGGATGGACCGAATATTGAGCAAGATAATCCACAACTCTTCTCCAAGCCCTCAGAATAAGACATACATGGACAGCCTAGAAAAAAAAGAAGGGGGCAGGAAGGCCTATAGTATACTGGCGGAGCAATGAGCAGGATAAGTTTCCTGGAACAGTAAGTTCATGAAGAGGAAATTATGCTGGAAGCCTTGATAAAATTTATCTGTGCATTTTAGGATATGTGACTGTTTCTACATTTTAATTTAACCTAATTTCAATTCCCTAAATGAAAGAATATATAGTGTACTTACTGCCAGAAATGTTATTTATTATATCCAGAGGCTATATCCAGAGAAATAAAGTGCATTAGAAACTCTTTTATTCTTCTTATATGGTCTGTAATATATTCTAAAAGCAAATGAAGTGTTCCTTCCCATTTCAATAGAACTGATGTTTTCTCAAAAGATGAAAGAAGACAGAAGATTGAGATTATACCTTCTGAAAAGGATTACTGGGAATGACTCCGAATAAAAGTGTACACACGTCTATCAAACACATCCACAAATGAAGACAGTCAATCCAACCTCCACACGAAGTTTAGATTATTGGTAATGTGTATTGTACAGTGTATTATATTAAATGATATAAACATAGATATATAATCATTCTGAAAGCTATGTAAATGATTATAGACTAAGAATAGTTTTTCTAATAGAGTATCACAGTCAGCATTTGAAAAATATAAATTTATGAGCACTGTGGTCCAAGTAGAAGGTAATGAGGAAAATCTCTTTTTTACCAATCATCTAGAAATTTAAGTCAAATTATCTATAACTCAATATCACTGAAACAAATCTTACTGGACTGATTTCTCTACACCATTCACTACTTTGTTCTTTATTTTGCCCTCCAAGCATGAAGCAGTCAATGAGTTAATTTCCAGATCAGCCAAGGAGTTAACTTCTTACCACTGCATTTCGATCAAATGGTCTATTTTAAATTCTCCCTTTAAACAAAGAGCCATTCTTCTATCCTTGTGTTATTGTATGCTCCTCTTGAATAGTTTCCAGGAATAACAGATCATGAAAAAAAAGCCACAGTTGCTCTTAACATCCTTTGTATAAAGTTATTAGATGATGGCACTGATTCCTGATTAACAACTCCAACACGCTGTAGCCTACACGTGGTGTATTAACAGTTCCCTTGGCAACAGACATCATTTTGCATGCCCATTATAAATTTTAAACATGAAAAATTAAAGGAAGTGTTACTTTTCATTAAAAATGTTATACCACAAAAGGGACAGAAGCAATAAGACTACCTAAAAATGGGAGTACTGATGGAAGTGTCATAGTGTGGCTTTAATGATGTTTAAACACGTATTCATTTTAGGACACTACTGAAAAATATTTTTGGAAATGTTTCTTTAAGAACTTTAATTACCATTAATGTTTAAAAATAAATGATAGAATCTCTGTCCAGATGACATGATTGATGGTGTTTTTCAGGGAAAAAAAAAGTTTTAAAAACATCAAAACCTGCCTTACATTGTGTAATTCCATCTGAAAAAGAAACAAAATCTGTTTACAGTGCCTCAGGACAAAATCTAATTTACTTCTTAGTTTGATTTGAGTCCCAAAGAGCACCATTCTCTTAAAAAGGTAAACAGTGTGTTTCATAGGCTTCCACTGGATTTTACGTCTGATCAAGTTAAAGATACACCTGCTGACTTTGCTTATAGCAACAGAACTGCCAAAATAACAGACAAGAAAGCTGGCCCAAATTCTATTTGTATTTTTCAAGATCTAGTTATTTACTTAGGTATCATTTTTGGCACCTGAGTCTCTTATAACAGTCCATGCAGTCTACCAAATAAGAAACATACATGTTTAAAACATTAAACAATAGACAGTTATATGAGAAATTCCTTCAGAAATAACAAACTAAAAAATTCTATATAAATATGTGCTATAAGATTTTATCTCTATAAAGTAAGGCTCCTGTTCCCTCCCGTCATTTTCCTCCCATCCAGACTTAACATCATGTTTGATTTTGTTAGTGTATTTGTTGCCTAGGATAGGAAACCCCTATGACAGCTAACAAGGCCCAATATTTCTACAATAATAATTATGATGATGATGTTGAAAACTGCAAATGCCTGCTTTGTGACAGCGGGAGATGTTCTAAACATTGTATAAACAGCAACTCATTTTAGTGAATAGTATGTTACTGAACACTGGGCACAGGGCTTCCTTTCCCTAATTCACCTGGAGACACTAATGGGAGATAGGCCATGTCTATAAAGAAATAATTTACTTTGATGATGGTGGATAAAGGTTCTGAACCATGAGCTACCCTCATCAAAGAATGGTAATGGTAACCCAACAAAAGTGGTACCTTTATTTACCTATTATCTTTTGCCATCTTATTTTGCAATGATAAAGAGTTTTGTTTTCACTTTACTTAGGGGAAGAAGTTGAAAGACAGGCTAGGCAGCCATTTTAGTCTTATCCTCTCCCCTGACCCCCCACCCCCACCCCCAACCTCTCATATAATAATTAACATAGGACAAGTGGGTTTTTCAGATTTAAGTCTTTCTTTTCTTTTTGTTTTTTTGCTTGTAAGATGGTCGCTTTTTCTCTTCCCTTCAGAATGTTGCCATTTTATTCAACGCATTCCCCAAGCCTCCTTCTCTCAGCTCACATCTTGTACTGGAGCAGAGTTAAAGCTGCCTAAGGCCACGCCAGGCGACCAGTAAGAGGCGGTGGCTTCAGAAAGGGGTTCCCCTAAATCAGCTGGCAAGAGTGTGAAGGCCATTCCCCCCACTTTCCCCTCGGCTGGGAGCTCCCACCACCCCAAGCCTGGGAAAGCTACATTTCCAAAACTACACACTCCCATTCCACCACAACAAAGCTTTCTCAGAGCACACAACACAGCACCCTCTTCCCCAGGCCCTAGGAAAACAGCGCTCCCAGGCCTGGCGATCCTCCCCAAACGTGCCTCCCTCAGCCCCGGGCCAGGACGTCCCAGGCCCCCTAGTCCCCGCTGGGCACCCAGGCGCTCTGGTTCGGAAGCGGGGGAGTCAAGCCATGGGAGGCTGAACCCCGGGCGATTTTCAAACGCCCGGGAGAGTCCAGACTGCTAGTAAGCTCAACTTCGCCCACTCACCACCCAAGTGGGGTCACACCACAGCCAGGCCGGCCACTTGAAGGGGTTGCAAGTTTCAGTGCTCCCTGCAAGAGTCAGGGTTCCCTGCATCCGGGCAGCTGGACCGAAAGGCAACCCCCAGCCCTCTGGCAACGCTGTCCCTCCTGAATTAGACATACACACCCTGGGATTTCTGTTTCCTGCGCAGAGAGAGGGAGAAATGAAGGATGGGAGGGGGGACCGGGAGTGAGTAGGGTGTGGCAATTGGTGGAGGGAACGGGTAAGGGCCGGTTAAAGTCACCTCTCTGCCCAGGACAGAGCCGGGGAAGGGGCAGCGGGTCTGCCTGTCGCTTTGTTGTTGTCGTCCCAGTCGCTGGCGCGCACGCTGCAAACACGCCCCCCAAATCGGGGCCGCCGGCCAAGAGGCCCCTAACAGCCCCAACCCCTTGGCAGAAGGAGGAAACTTGTACACAGGCACTCCAGCACCAGGTGCTGCGGTTTGCCTCTGAGGGCCATTTTAACAGCCAGAATAATGATGATCATTAAATAAAAGAATCAATAGTATTTTGCTGTCTTTCCAAGTCTTTGGAAAAAATGAAATTCAGGTTTTCGACGGATCCGCTAACATTTACAGCCCCCTGAGACGCGGCGGGGTGGGTGGGCGGGGGAGATTGGTGCTCAAGGTGGGGAGCACGAGGAAGGTGCAGGGGCGCTGCGGGAAGGGGGGCAGGCTGGGGGCCCGGTCCCCACGCCATTTGCGGGGATGCGGCGCCCGCCCGCCTTACCTGTGGATGCAGTTTCCATGGCAACGGGCGGCCGGGCGGGGTTCGAGCCCAGTTCTCCAGGCGCCGCTTCCTCGGCCCCAGCGCCCAGCCCCCGGCTGGACTCCCCCGCCTGCGGCGCCGGCCTCGCCCCTTTCGGCGTCACCGCTTCGTCCTCCCCTTCCTCCCGGTCCCCAAACCACTGGGACCCGCGGCCGGCCAGCGGCAGCAGCTCTTCTTGGGGATCCGGCGGCGCGGCCATGGCTGGCGGTCCCGGGCGCAGCGACGGCGGCTGGGGGGATGGAGGTGCGGTGGCTGGACCGGCAGGCGCTCCCTGCTGCTGCTCGCGCCGGGACTCGGGGCTTGGGAGGCTGCGGTGTAACGCGCCGCCGCCGCCACCGCTCCAGCCGAGTTGCGGCCCGCCGCGCTCCCCGATTTAGCTAGTCATCATCAAAGAAGAGTGACCATGAACGGCGCAGCGCTCCTCATAAACTTCCGGGCAATCTCCTCACGACATGCTAGCCTGAGAGAACCAGGGGGAACAGGAAAGATTTAAGCAAGATGTAAATAGAGGGAAGCAAGGACAGCCCTGGAGACAGAAAGACCCACTTCCGGCCCTGCTTAGGAAGCGGGAGCGGCGCTCCCATATGAGGAGGTTGAAAGGAAGAGCATTCCTATATTAAACATCTACGCTCAACAACGTATGTGAAGAGAAATAAAAGACATAAATATATATATTATTACTTGTATTAAGAAATTAAGAGCATAGATGAAATAAAAACACAATAGACGACGCCGTAGGACATACAGTGGCGGCGGAGCAGAGCAAATCTTAGGTAATAGGGAGCAAGAATAC